TAGGGGACATTTAAGTAATTGCACTTCCTAACATGTGTCAGCCTCTAAAGGCCACACATTTTTCCTTATGGCTCCATTTGGTTATACTTTGTTATTGGACTTGATACTATCAAACTTTCTTTCTCTAGGTTATCCATTTGATATAATCCACTTCATTAATTTGTTTGGTTAGTTTTTGGGTTAAACAAAAAATGTTGCCGTTTCGCCCATAGACATTGTTAGTAGTCTTCTCTCTAGTTTCCACTTCACAAGCGGAGCCAACCGAAATCTTGAGGCCCCTCCATTAGATTTTCACTTTGCGAGGGCACATCATCCTTCTTTGCTACCTTAGGCACCCAACGCCGCATTCGACCCTTTTCAAGGCGAGCTTAACCTCGCATCTCCTCAAAATCAGAGGATGCCACGACCTCCATATCATTATCTTCGCCGTTAACCTGTCGGCCGTTCAAGAACTCGAATGAAAAAAAAAGGGAGAAAAATCAGCGAGGGAACTGAGTATTTGAAGATTTGTCTCGGTTGGTGAAATTAGGGTCAAAGGCAAATTNCAGTTTCATCTCAGATTTATAGAAATTTCTTTGTGTTTCTTCCAATTTTGAATTTTCAACAAAAATGGAGATTTGGAAATTGATTATGTTATTTATAATTTTCGAAGAATATATGTTTGTGCCTGGTACATGCGAGAGTGATAGCCTATACCACAAAATTGGTGGGATACGACATAAACAAATTGGCTGATAATTTATCGGGCCAACAACAATTTTCAGGGCTTGCTAATGGCCAACCAAACACATTAAACGTATGGATACTTAAAGGAGTGGTGTGATATCATGCTATATCTAGCCAATCAAACGCATCTTATATGTATAAGAGAGATTGGGGAGATGTTTATGTAATATTCATTTAAAAAACATATCGTTTGATAGTCACTTCAAGTAAAAACGTTTACATAATTCTTGTTGGTTAAAATATCATTTTGAATAAAAAAAAAAATTAAAACTCAAATTGCTTACAATAATAATTCCAAAAAAAAAAAAAAATTATCTATCTTCGTCTTTCCCCAAATTCTCTTTGGTGATCTTAGGGTTCTCATTTCGTCTTCCCTGGCGGAGCCACTGGACTCCAAGACGGTGGTCGGTTTTGTTGGGTTCTGTGAGGAATGTCAACGACATGTACAATATTGAACTTATCGAAATAAATCCTAACGCAGCGGAATCTATATTTAGGATTAGGACATTACCTTTTAAAATTTTTGCTGACTCAGACACGTTTCTGATTTCCTTTGATGGAGATCGTCTGATTACTACAACTCAATCGGTTTAAGAGTTTGGCCTTTGTCGACTCTAGTCGAGTGTTGAATCACGAACGAATCACCGGAACAAGTTGATCAGGTTTGGGATCGGTTCGGGTCAAGACTCAGTCGGGTCGGGTCGCAGCGGTTCGGGTGTGGACACTGGTCACGGACTGCAGCTCGTCAGGACCTGATGGTGCGGGTCGCAGGTCGCTGGTGCAACGCGTCGGGCGTGTCGCGCAGGGCAGCAGGTCTCGCGGACGTGTGGGTCACGACTCCTGGTCGAGCGAGGTCTCCTAGTCGAGCGAGGAATCCTGGGTGAGCAAGGAGTCCTGGGCGTGCGAGGAGTCCTGGGCGAGCGAAGATGGTCGAGCGCGTGTCGGGCGGACGCTGAGAACATGCGGGGCGCGTTTCCTGGGCACGCGAGGAATCCTGGTCGGGCGTGGACTGCTGTGCGCGTAGTGCACGGACGTGGAAAGCAGGTCGACGCTGGGCAGGTGATCACGAGCAGGGGCAGTCGACACG